TGCTTTGTTTGGAAAAATTAACCTAACTGTATGATTACTAGTTCGCATGCATTTATTTAGAAAGAAAATTAATAAATTAAAAGCTAAAGCTTATTTCTCCTTTGTGTATACTTAGAGGTTCAGTATTGTCTTAGATCAGGAGAATTTCTAGGGTTCATTATATGTAGGGTTTTGGTTCTAAGGGTAAAGGTACTCGAACTGTCCTTGTCGATGCCCCCTTGGACTGCCAACCCTCAATCATAGTCCACTATAGACTTAAGCAGACCGAGTTCAATTCGAGGGGACACGTTTCTCTGTGCCTGACACGGAGAATAAATTCTCACGAAGACGTCGCTTTCACTCCCACTTAAAAGGGACAAACTCAATTATAGAGCTTTATGTTATGCAATGCAAGTGTTGTGTGTGAGGAGAAATGTTCAAACCTCTAACAGACAAATAAAATAATTAATATCTAAAAATATATATATTAATAAAATAATATAAAAATAATAAGTAATAAAAATTTGAAAGAAAAGAATTAAAAATTAAATAAATGAATTTTTAATTTCTAATTAATAGAGACAATTTATAATTAATTTTAAAGTTTGACAGTCCCCAGCGGAGTCGTCAAGCTGTCGTAACCGGTTTTCGTCCGGGCACGAATTTTTTACTTGGCGGGAAAAGTGATGTGAATAAATGGTTTTTTAAAATAATTTGGGAGTCGCCATCGGCCTTTTGGGTCAGGTAGGTCGAATACCTAAAAATCATCCTTTAAAAGAGTTTTTAAGAAAACATCGGTTAAAAGATAAACTGATCTGCGTTTTAACCAAAAATTCGTTCTTTTTAATAATAAAAAGGGATTCGTGGTCGGTTACGTTTAGGGAAGGATTAGCACCCCTACAATGCCCAAAATTGGTACTTTTTAATTATAAATTGTCTCTAATAATAGAATTTTAAGAATTCAAATATATTTAATTTATAATTATATTATTTCAAATTTTATTACTATAATTTTTAAGAAAATATATTAATTTAAATATATTTATAAAAATATTTATTTATTTAGAAATATCAGAAAATGACTTCTAGGTGCCTTAAGACAGCTCTTTTCTTCGATATTAAAAAAATAAAAATAAATATTAAAATTTTAATAATTTAAATAAAACTAAATTATAATTTTTATAATGTTTAATTATTTAAAATACCAGAATAGGACATCCAGTTGTTTTAAGACTACCCTTTTCTTTGATATTGAAAATAAATAAACATTATTATTTAAAAGAATATAGGTATATAATTATATGAATAAGATAATAATATTAAAATAATTATGAAAATAATAATGTAAACATATAGAATTAAAATATAAATAAACAATGAGTAAAATAAATAAAATTAAAATTAAATATAAAAAGTAATAAAACTTATAATTAAAATTAGTGACTAAATTATGACTTATCAAGATTAAATGCTCTAGTTTGAAATATTATGAAAACTAAGTGTTACTAATGTAATTAATCCTTAATTAATTAATTAGAGGTCAAAATAAAAGTTATTAAAGTTATAAGGACTAAATACGGTATTTACCCTAAATATATATAAGTATACAGGCTAGGACTAAATTATAAACTAAATAAAATCGAAAGACCGAATTAAAATGATTTAAATTTAATTTCAGTGATTATAATGAAAAGTTACAAAACTATGGTGGCAGCAGGTATAGATTACCCACGAGAGAAATTACAGATATACCCCTCCCCCAAAACGACGTCGTTTGGGAGGGTTATTTAAATATCCCAAACGGCTGGCCTGAAGGGCCAACCCTTCATTTCTTCCTTCTCTCTTCTCTCTCTAACTGAGAGAGTTTAATATTCTCTCTCGCCTCTCTCTTCAAATCCCTCATCGGAGGGATTAGAGTTCCGACCGGCAACCGTGCGCCGGTGCCGACCACCGCCACCGGCCACGGCGAAATTTTTTTTAAAATACCCTAGGATATAAATCTCACTGTTCTAAGGCCGAATCCGGCATCTATTTTCCCCAAAAGTCACTGGAATTTCCTAGATCTAAGAAAATACCTTCGGTATTTTCGGTACTTCGGCGAGGTTTGGAGTTCTCCGGCGAGGTAAGTTCTTCTTTCTCTTTTCTCGGCTGATGGTTGATTTGTGTTGGTGTGGTTTTGCTCCTCTCCTTGCTCTCTCTTCGTCTCTGTCTCTCCTTTTTTCTCCGATTCTTCCTCTCTGTCCTCTTTTATTTTGCAGGTGTGGTGGCTTTTATAGCCACCACCGAGGCTTTCGTCGGACCGGTCCCTTAGGAGGCTTTCGGTGAGTCACCATAACTATGGTGGTGACTCACCATAGAGCTCGACGTGGGGTGATGACGAGGCGCTTCTGGAGGCTTCGATGGGGTGGCTTGGCACTGACGGTGGCGTGGCAGCAGCTGAAACGTCAACGTGGAGGTGGCGGCTAAGCAGAGGCGGCGGCTAGCCTTCTGGAATCTTGGAGGCGGCTGGGGGGCTAGGGTTTGAAACCCTAGCATGAATGATACAAACCCTAAAGGGTTTGGGTTATCTGTTTGGGCCTGGATTGGTCTGGGCCTCCAAGATTTGTAAAACGGGCCTCCGAGTCTTGGGCTTGTAATAATATATTTAATAATAATAATAATAATAATAATTTTATTAATAATAAACGAAAATTTAGTGTTTACAATATGAAAGTAATGTAAAATGTGAATGGAATAATCTTCTTTACTTAAAGGTACTGCTTTTCTCAATTTAAAAATTGCAAGGGCTTTTTTATTTATAACCACGAGAGAAAAACTTTAAAAATGTGAGAGAAGTTGAAAGAACAAAACTGGTAGCTTCCGCATAAGAGATTACTTTTCACAAAAAGTAGGAGATGAATGATTTAAGAAAATAATGTATTATTGGCGCTTGTAGGGTCGGTAGGAGAATTGCTGAAGCAGTTTCCACCGCTCTTCTATACCAAGAGAGAAAGGTGTAGAACTCGGGACACAAACAAATTACTTAAAAACAAAATAATAAAACAAATAATGCATTTTGTGGGACTGAATCTGATATGAAGATGTTTTTGGCCATTACTTTTGTTTCTATTACTTTCTCTTTTGTTAAGCCAAATCGTGCCCTTCAATAGTATATTTCAATACTCTCAAACGTCGAAGTATAAATATTAATAAAATATTTTAACACAAGACTTGTTTAAATTCAAAATCTCTAGATATAATAATCATGAGATGAAACGATTTAATTGATTTACTTCCCTTTAAACAAAGTGGGGTCTTTGTTATATTGTCCTTAATGAAAGCGATAAATGTTCACCCATGGACCACTCTGGAATCAATTTCCACTCTCACAGTGATTTCAAAAGAGGAATGGAACTTTAATGAAAAGTCGAGAGAAAGCAAAAGTTTAAAGTACTCCATATAGTACGGAGAGTGGTGCATGGCGTTGGTGTTCACATTACCGCACAGCAATCCAGTGGTGGATGTCTCTTCTCCTGTCCCTACCATAAACCCACCAATATAATTCATCATCCTCACCATTTCACGTGTGACTCCAATCATAGAATGATTTCATAAAATATTTTGAAAATGTTAGTGCGACTTATTCATATAACAATTTATATCAAATAATATTATCTTTTCTTTGAATCATATGTACACATAGCCTTTCTTATTTTCCAAGTAATTGAATCATATATGTATATATATATATATATATATATATATATATATTCACATTAAACATTTAGCCCAATAAAACATAAACGATTATTCTTTAATTTCTACACCACCACAAAATTATAGCATAAAATGATTATTATCTTTCAGCTTCGCTAAAGACCAACTACACACATATTTCTAACAATATTAGGGAGGGGCAAGCTTCGGGTTTGGGTCAACCCGAACAAACCGAAAATATTGCATCATCCACTCGACCCGACTCGAAAATCTTACATCCTCCAATCGATCCGAATTCGATCTGACTTTTTTAGATAAAATCTGAATATGATCTTACCTGAAATAATATATTTATTAAAAATCTTATTTTTATTAAATAAGAATAAGATTTTAATTGAAAAAATAATATATAGAGGGTATTATTGTACTTATCCCCAAATATAAAAGATAAAAATATTTTTTTGGGGTCGAGTCAAGTCGGGTATTTTCACCTTAAAATCGAACTCCGACCTGATCCTACCAAACCTGAACCTAATTTTTTTTTTAAAAAAAACTTATCGATCTAATTAAATCGGGTCGAAATCATCGAGTTCGGGTGACATGCCCATCTTACCTAACATTGTCAAAATGATTAAAGTCATGCACAGACCCTGTACATGAGCTCAAATAAATTATGTGACATTGCCACACATATCTAAAACTCAACTAATGTCCAAGAAAATTATAATATCATGTTTAAGCTTACTTATACGTCGAGATACATAAAAGTATCCAACAATAATATAATTTGGTGACAGTAATCACAGCATCACATATTCGAGTCTTAAGCTTCATACTTAAGTATCGAGCTCCAATTTCACAACATATCGTATCGAAAAACTTATCGTGTTTATATTTACATTCATCTCAGGCATAATCTATAACCACAAGCTTTAACATTATCTCAAATCATATCACAAATCAATATATATATATATATATATATCAAATTTAGGTGGCTAGAACTCAACTACCAAGCCATGAAAATTTTTGGGGCAATGGAAAAGAGAACCAAGGAAGAAGAAGAGGCCAATATTTGATTATCTTTCCTCCCTCGTGGAGTCCTTCAATTTCCTTCATTTCTTTTATTGAGAAATTAATCTAAATTTTGTCTACTTGACACGTAATTGATGAATCATCACTTAATAACAAAAAGGTCTTTGTACCATGCAAATTTGAAATTTAATCTCCTTTATGAATTGGTCCGCATCATCCACGTGTGTTCCCTCCGTAAAGGTTTCCTCTATAAATAAACCTCCTCCAAAGCTTTGAAGCATAAATTTCTGGGGGAAAAGCAAGGCTAGGATTCATTCGAGTTCTCAGTTTAAGTTTTGCCCCCTTAAAGAGAAAAGGAAAATGTTTATTGAGAGTTTTAAGGTTGAGAGTCCAAATGTGAAGTACACAGACGATGAAATTCAGTCTGTTTACAAATATGAAACTACGGAGCTTGTTCATGAGAACAGTAATGGAACCTATCAATGGGTTGTTAAACCGAAGACCGTCAAATATGAATTCAAGACTGATATCCATGTCCCTAAACTAGGGTTAGAATATTCATTTCTTCTTCTTCTTCTTCTGGGTTTGTTTTGGAATTTTATTTATACTTTTAATGCTGTAGGGTTATGCTTGTGGGATGGGGAGGAAACAATGGTTCTACCCTCACCGGTGGTGTTATAGCTAACAAAGAGTGAGTTTTATATATATTAAAAAAAGTCTGATTAATTTTGATTGTCTGTCTTTTTATTCCTCTGTTTGTTGATTTTTAAGATATGTGTAATGGATACTCTCTTTTCTCTCAGAGGTATCTCCTGGGCCACCAAGGACAAGGTGCAACAAGCTAATTACTTTGGTTCATTGACTCAAGCATCAACGATCCGAGTTGGATCTTACAATGGAGAGGAGATTTATGCTCCATTTAAGAGCCTTCTCCCTATGGTATTAAAAAATATGAACTGGGATCTTGTCTTAATCTGGGATTTTAATAGTTTTGATGCTAAACACCAATAAATGCAGGTGAAACCAGAGGACATTGTGTTTGGAGGATGGGATATTAGTGACATGAACCTGGCCGATGCAATGGCTCGCGCCAAGGTCTTCGACATTGATCTGCAGAAGCAGCTGAGACCCTACATGGAATCAATGGTGCCACTTCCTGGAATCTACGACCCTGATTTCATTGCTGCTAACCAAGGTGAACGTGCCAATAATGTCATCAAGGGCACCAAGAAAGAACAAGTTCAGCGCATCATCAATGACATCAGGTTCAATCAAGTTTAACTTCCAAATGATTTTTGTTAAGATCAAAGACGACTGAGACTAACAAGGTGGACAAGTTTAACGCTTGCTTTGTTTTGATCAGGGAGTTCAAGGAGAAGAACAAGGTGGACAAGATTGTCGTACTCTGGACCGCAAACACCGAAAGGTACAGCAATGTCATTGTGGGGCTGAACGACACCATGGAGAGCCTCTTGGCTTCTTTGGAGAAGAATGAATCAGAGATTTGCCCTTCCACTTTGTACGCCGTTGCATGTGTTCTTGAAAATGTTCCCTTCATCAATGGAAGCCCACAAAACACCTTTGTTCCAGGTTCTTAATTCAGCTTAACTATCTTTCCTAATTGTTTGGAATGTAATGATTAGTAGATTTAATTAACTATTAACCCTATTGATGTGACTGTTGTTTGTATTCAGGGTTGATTGATTTGGCTATTCAGAGGAACTGTCTGATTGGAGGAGATGACTTTAAGAGTGGCCAAACCAAGATGAAATCTGTTCTTGTGGATTTCCTTGTTGGGGCTGGTATCAAGGTACAAATCTTTCAACTTTATGGCACTATCACCATATACTTTATACTAAGCAAATTGTAACAACATGATTGAAGTAAAAAATGTTTGGTTTGGTAGCTTATGTTTATGTAAAACATAACACTGATGGGTTGTTGTTAATTGACAGCCAACATCAATAGTGAGCTACAACCATCTGGGAAATAACGATGGCATGAATTTATCAGCTCCCCAAACTTTCCGTTCCAAGGAGATCTCAAAGAGCAACGTTGTTGATGACATGGTCTCCAGCAATGGAATCCTCTATGAGCCTGGCGAACATCCTGATCATGTTGTGGTCATCAAGGTAACTAATTGTACCCATCTTAAGTTTGTTTAGGCACTTGTCTAACCTAAGGCTTTAGTCTGATTGGTCTTAAATGTGTACTTTGTTGTCGTTTTGTTTTAGTATGTTCCATATGTAGGAGATAGCAAGAGAGCCATGGATGAGTACACCTCAGAGATATTCATGGGAGGCAAAAATACCATTGTGCTGCACAACACATGCGAGGACTCTCTCTTGGCTGCTCCAATCATCCTAGACTTGGTTCTCCTTGCTGAACTCAGCACCAGGATCCAGCTTAAGGCCGAGGGAGAGGTATAAAAATGTCATTTACTTTGTGGTCTCTTTTGGTTTGACCATTGAACTTTGTTATGCAAAATATTGATATGATCTTTGATTTTGCAGGGCAAGTTCCACTCTTTCCACCCTGTGGCTACTATCCTCAGTTACCTCACCAAGGCCCCTCTTGTGAGTCCAAAGCATCCCTTTGTCTTTTTGTATGACCAACTAAATAGAATGCTTATGGTTTTATTTATGGTGCATCTTTTGGAGATATTTCATGTGAAGCATCTGGTGAGAGGGGACAAAATTGAGTTAAAAGTTTGGTAACTTTATGTCAGACTTTAGTTCAAGAATGTGAACAGAACCATGAGAGTCACATGAATAAATGACTATCCAAGTGATTCATGAAGAAATAGGATCTGATAGAGAAGACTAACTGACATTGTTTTTGGCAAAAAAAGGTTCCACCTGGCACACCAGTGGTGAATGCTCTGTCGAAGCAGCGTGCGATGCTTGAGAACATACTGAGGGCATGCATTGGCTTGGCTCCCGAAAACAACATGATTTTGGAATACAAGTGAAGAGTGGAACAAGCTTTGGTTCTTAGGAACTTCAGGACCATTTCCCTTTCTCTTTACTATCGGTTTGTGTTATCACAGGTTGTAATGGTTGTCTGACGGTTTGTGGTTCGTATATTAAGCTTTTTTTTCTTTGTTTTTTCCCGTTTAGTTCGAGATTGAACTCATGTTTGTAGCTTGTTCTTGAACCAAGCACCTATTTGGTGGAAATAAATATGATAAAATGTGTTTCTCTTCATAAACTAATCTTGTGTTCCTCATATCATATGGGTTCGGTACAGGGACATGAAAAGGAAAATTGCCACTTATAATCAGTTTTGATTAGTTAATGCATATGAGAAGAGGCCAAGTCTTTTAACCCATAAATGAAAGGGACAGTCTTTGAATATGGTCCCCCGGCTTCCACCCTTTGATCTTAAGACTATGGTACAGCGGGGAGGCACATGAATGTCTTTGAATTGGTTCTGCAATAAACCACTTATCAGTGTAGGATAGCGGTCCCTTATGTTATATGTAGGTGGTAAATTTTCTCGAGATTCCCTGCCCAATGGAGGCTGCTCTACTTCACGTCCCATCAATTTTATGTGTACATTACCAAGATAGTTGAATGAATGTTCATTTGTACCGTTTGTGGGTTACTTTTTACAAGTGGCAAGTGTGTGTGGTTAGGCAGCATGAAAAGGCTGATGTTGCTTGGAATACTCCAAATTAGAGTTGGAGTCCCTCGAATCTAAAAGAGATTTGTATTTCACATTGATGATTCATTTGTTTTTGGCATTGATGATTGATACGTTGAATATATATGTATAGTGGGAGTAGCAGAAAGAGTAAAGTATAGAAAAAAGAAGTCATAAAATTGGAAACCAAATATAAGTGGTGATATGAGCTGAAGCTCAGCACTTTAGCCATTTGCATCACCAAGACCATCCACTTGTTTATAATTAAACTGTACCCACTACTGTATATGAGGAAAGGCGATTGTTTTTACTCTGTCCTTGTACATTTGAAGCATTGGCTTAGTTTCTATCAAATGAATCATGGTCCAAGTTCAAGCAGCTACCACCAGCTCCGCCTTAGAAGTCCACCTCACGCTTTGTTGATTGGTCCTTTTGTTTATTTACGAGTAAAATTCCCACAAAAAAAATTATTAGACTATCTTTAGTAACCGTCACAAATACAAGGGGTAAATTTATAAAATTTTAATTAGGGATAAACTTATAAAATTTTAGAAGGTCGAAATATATTTTTAATATAAAATATAGAAAATTATAAATATTTAAAATTTTTAGGGCTCCTTGGTCAATCATCCCTGACCATCTTAACATAATATTGGACAGAACGGACGATGTAAGAGGCGTAGATTGGTACAAACAACCATATGTCAAACCACGGGTATTCATCGAGTGAGTCGATCGTGAGTTGGGTAGTACTCAACTTGTGCTCATTAAAAAAAATTATTGCTTGACTCAACTCTTTTCTCTTTAGGGTCATTAAAATTTTGTCGATTCGTGCTCGTTAAGAAAATTTGTTATTTGACTCGTTACTCATTAAGCTCATTAAGTTTTCGTTGCTCACTCAGCTCACCAAAAAATTTATTTTATATTTTTAACTATAAGTAAAATCTACTAATACTATATAGAACTTAATATAAACAAAAATTAATAAATTTAACAAAAAAAAATATCAAGAGTGAATGTAACAAATTTAAAGTATGAACACTACAATAAAAATTCATAAATACATTAAATAATAATTAGGGTTTGATATTTGTGTGTAACAAAATAATAATTAATTAATAATTTAGTATTTTTAATTATTTATTAGAAAATTAATAGATTAGCAATTTTTCATATTTTTTATTATCTATTTGTAAATTAGTATTTTTTTTAATGAAATAACTTTTTAACATAACTACTAAAAAGTTATAAAAGAAAATTAAAGAGTTGATCACGAACTTATCGAGTCGAGTAGAACTTTGCTCGACCCAGCTCGTTAAGGTTTCGAGTTGAGCTCGAGTTTGAATCGAGTCAACTCGAGTCGATCTTTTATCGAATTTTAACCGAGTCAAATTCGAGCTTTTCACGAACTGCTCAACCCCGCCCCTATGCTAAACCCAACCTTATTTTAAAACTTTTGTTTTTCTGAAAAGTGCAACCGAATGGAGAAAAAATGTGCAATAATTCAGTATGTAGGTGGAAACTTGAGATGACAAAGCTGATTGTATTTATTTCCCAACATATGCTTGATGAATCTACCTAACGCAAATGCATGTCAATTTCTGGTGATTGAGATTGAGATTGTCTAAAAACAATGAAGTAAACGATAATGGAAGTGAAAGGGTGTAGAGCAAGAGATTCCGTTCAACACAACATGTAATAATTGGTGTTTCCTGCCAACTTAAAAGGGAAACAAAGAGAGGGTACCACTAAATCCCTCTACTATAGTACTATGCGCCAAATCTAAAAAGTTAAAATGCACTTGTCGAAACGATCTTTTCCCGGAGTGGGAAAAAGGAGGGTATTTGAACGACCGTTTAGTGATAAAATGTGGGTTGAGGAGTCGTCACCAATCTTTAATTAGGGTGTGATTTGGCACTCAAAATCGTATTTGTCATTTTAATAAAATATTAATTTTAATTAAGTTCGAAAGTCGGTTACGTGTGGAAAAGGATTAGCACCCCACAACGCCCTAAATCGGTACCTAGTCGATTAATTAATTGTCTTTGCAATAAAGTTACAAGTTCGAGTCTAATTTAATTTAAGATCTCTTAAAATAACATTCTTTGAAATTTTGGATGAAATATAATAATATTTAATTATTTCCTATCGAGAAGAATCGATCTCTCATACCTTGAAGCAATCGATTCTTACTCCAATCGAAATAAAGAAATATTAAAATTTCATTCTAAAGTTCAATATTAATTCAAAATAATGACACCCAAAATAATTTTAAGAGTGAAAACGATAATATCTAATTATTTCCAATCGAGAAATAAATGATCTTTCGTGCATTAAAACAGTCATTTATTACTCCAATTGAAATAAAAAGATATTATTATTTCATCTTAAAATTCAATATCGACTCAAGTGAAAATAATAACATCTAATGATTTACAATCGAGAATAAACAGCCTTTCATGCATTAAAACAATCATTTATTACCCCAATTGAAAAAAAAGAGATATTAATATTTCGTCTAAAAAATCGATATTAATTAAAGAGAAAACAAAAATATCAAATTATTTTCAATCGAGAATAAATGACCTCTTAAGCCTTAAAGTAGTCATTTATTACTCCGACCAAAATGAAAGTATATTACTATTCTCATTGTCAATTCGAATGTTATTATTTTGAAAATCTATCGGAAAACACATGCAAAAATAAAACAAACAAAAAACATACATCAAGCAATCGCAATTAGTTAATTATTTTACCGATATTTAATGAGAATAAGGATGTTTAATTATTTAAATATCTCGAGACAATACCTTAGATTCGTTCTAACAATCTTTTCTCGATGAATTTAACTAAAAGAACATTGTCTTTATCTCAAATCCTGAATTTTAAAAATGAAATTGATTCAATTCGTGTCACTAAATGGGATAGACTTTCATTTTAAAATTATCAAAAATAACATTCTAATACGTTAAGACAATCATTTTACGACAATATTAAAATGATCAAATATTACCCTTAGTCAATTTATTTCGATTCGAATCAAGCAATGCTTATGAGGATATCATGTGAGATTAATTAGGACTAAAATGAATTAATATGCAAACAACATGCAAAAATTAAAATAAAAATGAAAGTGGGACTAAAACATAAATAATTAAATTATCATGCCAAAATTAACATAAAATAAAATATGCAAATGACTAAAATAAAAATTTTCAATATTAACTGCTAAAATAAAAATAAACAAAATATGGGGACTAAATTAATATAATTAAAACTGCATGGCCGAATTAAAATAAATAAAAATAACATACTCGGGTTCGAAATACAAATATGCAAAACTACAGGGACCATTTCACAAATATTCCATTTTTTCATTTTACATATTCAAATAAATAAAGGTAAAATTATAAACTGAGTCCCTAAATATTCAAAGAAAAATTAAACAGACACTACAGGATTAAAATGCAAAACACGTGTAAACATACAAGGGCTAAATAGAAAATATCCCTAAAAATAAACAACAGGCACATAACTGGGTAAATTATAGAGAGAAGCCCTACAGGTGACTAACATGCAACACGCGCTAAAAAGAAAGGGATTAAACAGTTATTAAACCAAATATTACATGTTATAAGCATATATGGGAAAATATAAAAAATGGTCCCTACACATGACCTTTTTGTAAAACACGTGCAAAGTTTGGGGGACTGATGTGCAATTTCCTCCAAAACTTTCTCTAAATATAACCTTTTATTTTTCTTTCCATTCGTAAACCGATTTCAAAAAAAAAATTGGTTTTCTCTCAAAATCCTCGGTCGGCCCACTGTCGCTGACTCAGCATGTCTCCGACCGCCGTACTGGCCGCCACACACGGTGGCTGAAATCCCCAAACTCACCCAAACTCTCTTAAAAGCTCAGATCTAGACCTCTAAACCTAGATCTAGGGCTAAAACTCCCTAAAAACGACCCTAACCGCACCTAAAGCTAACCCCGACCTTTCTGTTTTTGGACGTCTGACCACTGTGAATGCTCTCTCCAACTCAGGTAAGCTTCTTTCTCTCTTAAAATCTCAGTCTATTTTAGGTTACATGCAAAAGATTGTTTTTCACATATCTCGAACTGTAATCGTAAAATAAAAAAAAATACTTGAAACAAATCTGGATTTTATTATTCTTTTTTCTAAATCTGAAGTCAGTCTTTGAACCCCTTTTATATTTATCATTCAGGGTTTATATAACCCGCGGTTACAACCTTTTTGCTTTTCTTTTTTTCGAATGAAATTATTACAACTGAAAAAAATGAGTATTGCGTGCTCGGCTGGTTTTCGGTTGCTTGCTGTGATATGTTTTTTTAACATTGTATGAGACTCGGCTCGTGGTTGGTGGCAGCGTTTGGTGGCCGATGGTTGACGCAGTAAGGAGGTGACATGGGATTGGTGAGCGACGGCGGTTGTTATAGCTCGATCTAGACCGTTGGATGGGTCCAGATCGGGCGGCTGAGATGAGAGGCGGTGGTTCTTGAAGGGGAAAC